AACAATCACAGTTATAGTCTTTCGAAGTCTATAGCTACACTGACTATAGCAAACTAATAATAGTATACTTGTTAAGTATCTGCTTGTTTGATAATTTCCCGTGGAAATTCTTTCCGAGAAACTTCAGCGATTAGAAGTCCTTTCTTGATTAAAACTAGTTTATTCTTTCTTGATACAAACTTTGTAATACACTCAACAACTTTTATACCACACACTATAAATCACAGTGATTCACACACTTTACTTAAGGTGCTTACTGTTCGCTTGACTCAGTTATCTATCTATCGCTGGCTTTCTTTTCCAGGCTTATATATACTAAAAAAATAGGGCATCTAGATCACACTCGAGTTGGCTGGCAAATTCATGATCCTTCGAGAAACTCCAGCGCGCATGCTCCCAGAGTCGCGTGACTTCCGCTGTTGTAACAATACTCTTTTTTGGAGCGTCGCGTTCGTTATATTTATAGGCGTGTGGAGGCTTTCTCGAATTTTCAGATTTACTTAACAATACTGAGCTACATTTAAGTGTTTACATACATACAAAGATTGTTGATTCTTACTCTCGAGAATCTACTACAACTTTGGAGACTAGGCGGGAGTTTTGCAATACATGTCTAACACTATAAGCTATTCGTGTTTTTAAATATAAACTTATTCTAAACAAACGTTGATATTAAAATAAATATATGATAATAAATTCGTTACAACTCAAATAATCGCTATCTGGTTAGCCTTCCATAATTTTGAACGGATACACTAGAAGGAAGGAAGCTTGTCAACAGCACCCACCACTAATTCTTGGGCTACTTTAATCGAATAGTGGGATTTGACTGTCACAATTGTAACCCATCCATGACCCCAAACTCTCGAGTTTTGAGTGAAGTAATATTGCACTGATTTACTAAAACTATTGAGCTTGTTTTGTTTTTGTTTGCTTTTGAATTTCGCTCAAAGCTACACGAGGGCTATCTGCGCTAGCCATCCCTAATTTAGCCGTGTAAGACTAGAGGGAAGGCAGCTATTCATCACCACCCACCGCCAACTCTTGGGCTACTCTTTTACCAACGAATAGTGGGATTGACCCTCACATTATAACGCCCCCACGGCTGAAAGGGTGAGCATGTTTGGTGTGACAGGGATTCGAACCCGCGACCCTCAGATTGCGAGTCGAGTGCCCTAACCACCTGGCCATGCCGGGCATGATTTTGTGATAACAGAACCTGAACCTCATATACTCAGATTCACACCTCGGCACGCTAAACACTGGCTACGACCTCCATTCTTCCCACATTTGAAAAACAAGAAAGAAAAGGGAAAAGCTTAATTAAAATGGCTAATTAGCGTTTTTCCTAATAATTATGCACATGACGCGGTGTTCAGGTTGAAAATACTGTAGTAACATTGTTCTTTAGTTGGAAGTTTCTTTTAACTTATCTGTTGAAAATGATTCAATGCTCAGTCCACGTGACGAGTGCAATTATGCACTGTAATAACTTGTTGTAGGCCAACGTTTCAAATAACGTTCAAATCTCTCTAACAATGTTAGACGTAACGTAAAATCAACTTTCTTGTAGAAATTAATCCAGTAAGCGCAATAGCAAACATAGGTTCACTTCACGGAAAACACACTGACTGATTTAACTCTCTATCTTGAAATAACTTAATCTTCTTCACTGTGTTACCCTACTCTTGAAACAATTATTCCGTATTTTTAACATAGCTTCGAATATAGTAGAACACTTGACATAACATCCTTAGAAATTTCTTACTGTTGTATTAAACTTTTTATCTTAACGTCATCTTTATGACAAATAGCAATCTCTTTCTAACTCCTAAAT